TTTTACTTTGTACTTAATTTTCGCTAGACAAGCTGTCCGAATAGGGTACATCGTCGGTCATGTATCTTTTTCTCAGCGTAAAAATATCAACTAAATCCAATATGCAGAGATCTGCTGAGGACGCGATTTTCCGACATTGACGCTAAAAATAAAATGGCGCAGGAAAATCGGCAGCTAGACTAATATCGTATGAAAACAAAACTGTCCGTTCGGTTATTTAGGCACCCAGTCAAAACTGGTACCAACAGCAACAGGTAGTCCATTGACATTCCCCTGTAATTACGCATATTCTCGGGTTTATCCAGTTACCTATAGCTTTTTTCCACGTTATCTACTTACCCAATCCCTTTCCCACACAGATACGCATTTCTACTACCGTAAATTTAATCCAATAAAACAAAACATCATAAATCTACTTAATATTTAAAATGATTATTGGTAACTGAAAAAAAAATGTGTTGCTATTTTATGAAATGCTGTAATTTACAGTATAACTTGACAGGTGCGGAACTTAATTTCCCCTAAGGTCATTCAGTTCACTGATGAAGCGTAAAAAAATAGATGTCTATTTCGTCATTAGAATATTTTACAAGGGTGATTAACCAATCAGGGCAACATTGTGCATGATCAAAAGGTCTGTCGGCACAGAGGCATACAAGGAACAATAAAAATCGTTAGTACACAGTGTGACAGGAACATTTGGTGCAAATTAGGAACAATTAAAATGGATAATGCACAGTATTAGACATAAGTAGTAAGAACCAGCAATTGTGTGAATAAATTATGCAAATGAGATTTTTGAGCAGCCAATAAAAATGTTTTGCCCGCAGTTAATATTAGGCTACGATTACGATGTAAATAAATACCACGCAGGATCATACTTTGACAGACATGTTTACAATTTAGTTTTCAAAAGAGTTGCTTATATTTTTGAAATGTGTACATCACTACTAACATATGTTCACACCTTTTAATTTGAAAGTCAGAATCAAACTGCAAAAATTTAATTATATGTACTATTAAGAACATGTTTTAGTAGGATTTTTATAATAATGATAATTATCGCCGTTCAATAATTAACAGCCAATTATTCGTTGGTGCGTTTGTTTATTTAATAGCATTATTTGATTGTGAAACTTTGTTAAATAATAACATTTGTATTTATTAACTCTGTGAAATATTGTTTAATTACATTAGGATGAGACTTTAATGAACATAGCATTGTTTGGAGTAACGGGCATCACTGGCCTGAAGTGGTGCAACCGGTAGACGTTGATTTTTTATTTGTTTCTTTATTTTTTATTTTATTTTTTTGGATATTGTTACGTATTTTGAACCATAAAAAAAATCTCCTCTACACCTTTTGTGAAAATTAAATTGTCTGGTCAATACTCTATTATATAAATATTTCGCTACGATTCAACTAGATTTATCATAAATCTAAAGATGTGGGGAAATGACATCACGCGCACCTGTTTTTATACGGCCAATACACAAACATGGCCGCGCCTACTGATTTGTAGAAATCGGTGATTTAGCGATTTAAATTTCGTTATCATTCGTTTAATATTATTTTTTGGCGGCAGAAAATTTGCAGATTTAATATTTATAGTATTCTTTTTCTGAAATCAAGTTTTTATTCTAACCTTGTCTTTCCCTATTACCAACTTTTATGTGCATCACATTTGAGCAATACATGTTTTTAACAACGTTGAAAAAAGGTCCAGATATGCCAGTATTACATAGTTTATACAAAAGAAGGGAGTGAATAACATTATCAAATGCCTTTGCAAAATCAACAAAGCATGTATATAATTTAGCTCCCTTGCTGAAAAATTTATCTATCAATGTTTTCACTACAAACATGTGATCAGATGTTCTGGAATTGGGTTGAAACCCAATTTGTGCTTCATTAATAATTCCATTATCTATAATTTTTTGTAATCTATTATTCATTATACAATTAAATACCTTTGATAGACCTGGCATAACAGATATACCCCTATAGCAGTTGGGGTCATTAGTATCACCACCTTTATGAATTGCTTTAATATAACCAACTTTCCATGAAGATGGATAAACATCGCTTGAAAGTATACAATTAAACAATTTTTTAAAACTTGACAAAAGAAAACTTTGGCTAGCTTTAATCATTTCATTAGTAATGGAGTCAAGACCAGCAGATTTTTTGTTTTTCAATGAAGAAATGGCTTTGGATATTTCTTTTTCAGAAATTGCAAAGTCTAGCTCATTGAAGGTTTTCATTTTTTCAACAATTTGTAGTAAATCAGCATATTTCTTGTCAATATGTTCAAACTCCTTCTTTACACAAAAAAGATTTGTAAAATGTTTTATCCATCCGTCTGCCGATATCTTATTAGCAGGATCATTTGCTAGGCCTTCCTCCTTAAGATCTTTAACTAATTCCCAATATTCAGATGGATTATTACCTAACATACTATCTAATCTAGAAATAATACCCTTTTTAAAGGTATTCATCTTTTGCTTACAACAACGTTTATAAATTTTTCTATTCTTATAGAATGATCCTTTTAAAATATTGTCATACGGGTTTCTAGAATACAGTGAACTTCTGCGTAGTAATTCTTTACGCATCATACTAAGGTCACTATCAAACCATTTCTTTTTTGACTGGACCGGTCTAGTTTTCTTAACTTTTAACTTTTTCTTCATTGATTTGTTACAGGCAGTATACAAAATGTCATTAAGATTAGTTACCATTTGATCAACATTTTGCAAAGGATCACTGTCAAAACTCTCAATTTTCTGTTTAATTTCAATAGAGGAAAGAGCAATTTTAAAAATCTAAACTAGACGTATCTGTCCATTTCCAGGATGTAGGCATATCTAAAAGTCTACTTTCAATGTTAACATTTTTGAATTTTGCATACAGTTTTACATTCAATTTAGCATGATCACTTAAAAATGGAATATGGTTCTATACTTGAAAATACAAAACTTTATCAAATAGCTCATCACTAACAACACAATAATCAACAACACTATTTCCATTATACTGAAAACATGTGGGCTTTCCACCTAAATCTCCAAAAGTCCGCCCATTTAAAATAACTAAGTTTGCAGATATGCATAAATCAATGAATTCCTTACCTCTACTATTACAAACACTATCTTGGCTTTTTCTTTTCAGAAATGACCCAGTATTCCCCTTCAAAAATGGGGCAGGCAAATGTGTACAATTAGCATCTAACAAATCATTTTCAACTCCTGTTCTGGCATTTGTATCCCCAAAAAGCATAATATCTCCTAAATTACTATAATGGCTTATATCTTTTTCAATAATGGATAAAATGTCTAAGTTATGTCTTAATACATATGAAGAGTGTTCTGGTGCCATACTGGCATGCGAGCAGTTTCCGTACAAAAATCGTAGTTACTTAATCATTATTTTTTATTACGCTCACTCACCAAAATTTGAATGTTACACATCAATATTCGGCTCGTCATACAAATCATGGAAATTCCATCATGTTCTAAACATAGAATAACCCTTAGTTATGAGGCCTCATATGGGGTACCGAAATTATCCATTATTTTGTATGAAGAGAAGTAGTTCCCGTACATAAAATTTAACCCATTATAATTATACAATTTTATTATATCGGACCTATTTTTCATTTATAATTGTTGAACAGACCATTTTCTAAGAGATAAATAGATGTAATTCAGAAAATAGAAAGTAGACTAAACGCGTGTATCTATTACCCGGTACCGTTACCCCCAACGCATTCACATGCGATGGCATGCTTGTATGCATGATATTTTACGCATCAAAGCCATAAAATTATTTTATATAGTCATATTGGTCAAAATTCTGATAATTAAACAAGTTTTCATCACATTGCCTTCTTATCTGTAAACAGGTGGTATTAGTGGAAAACCCTTTAACATGCCTCACGTGTAAGTATGTTTGCGCATGCGCGCAAAGACGGAATTCCCCCATATAAAACAAGGTCACGTTTTGACAACGCACAGGTGAAAGTGATTTAAAATGAGACTTTTTATACGTACTGCCGAACTGACACTTAGATTTTGTCTCGTTTATGTATCTACTTGATTTGAAATGAATTTTTGAAGAATGCATGTAAAAATCAAGCGTTTAAATGAAAAATACGGGTACTGCTTCTGTACGGGAACTGCTCGCATGCCAGTATAAGTAAAGCAAATATAAAGATCATTTTCCAATGAAAAATAATGTTTACATAGTTTCAACCATTGAATTTCACTACATGTATTTTCAGATATGAAATGCCTGAGATTATACCAGGATTAAGTAAAAATAACATTCCTCCAGACACAGGATAATTTTCTCTGTTGGTCTATAAACAGCATATGAGTCACATAATCATCAATGCAAATACCCTTTTCTTTATCACATTTTGTCTCTTGTAAGCAGAGAATATGATAACCTTCAATACTTCTAATAAATTCCTTTTCTGTAAGCTTATTTGTCAGACCATTAACATTCCAGCATCCAATCCTTAAAAAACTTCCCAAATTCTGATACATATTAAGTAACAACTATACAACAGTAACAAACAACCAAATAACTGTAGTCGGCCTCATAAGGCAAAGTGTCAACAAATCATGTTTGAACTCCTAAAATACTCAACATCATTAAAATTCTCCAAATGTAAGTATAATGTGAGATATACAAATAATTGCCACGGAGAATTCTACTGCTCCTAAATGTTAACACTTAACACATGATAAATTTTCTTCATAAATAGAATGAATTTTACTGAATATCCAGTACAGTACAACCATCTAACATTTATTTACCTTAATTGTAATACTGACTCATATAACATTAGCCAATACATTGACAAAACAAAATTACATTACTTGTTAAATTGACTGTTCACATAGAGCGAGATCTTATAGAAATTAGAGATCTGATACATTTTAAATTAATGTTTAAAAATCAATATTATCATTTATTAACTTTCCGGGTTAAATGAAAATGTCGTATTTTACAAACCGGCTTCAGACAGCGCATGCGTGGAAATTTGTTTAGTTGCATGACTTGTGCAGAAAACCGATAAATTTCAAAGAAAATGAGTTCCATCGGAACAGGAGTGAGTAAACAATGATAGATTCTTCAAAGTAAAATAATGCATTGATCTTGTTAAATTTTTCGTCAGGAATTCTTTAATAAACACTGATGAGATTAGTTGTTTTCCCTTTGTTTACCAAACCCCACCCACCGAAAATGACATGGTAATCGATACTACAAAAACGGAATGAGTAGAAACTCCTGGTTTAGAGCCCGGGGACTAGTCATGATTACTGACTTACCATATCAGACATAATAGGCGGTCAAGACTATACTCTATTTTACTGACGTTTTCTCTCTGACTGTTCAATCCATCTTCCAATGATGTCTATCTCCTCGTGGAAAGAAGACATATATGTCTATGCGTCAAAATCGCAATATAAATAAAAAAGAGTTGTTAAAAACTAAAAAAGGATAAAAAAAGAATTCAATATTGAATGTTAAAAAGTACTGGTTGGAGACAAATTGGCCAGCTCAGCCCAAAAAAGTACTCGGCCCGAGTAAGCTTGGCTCTGTTCAAACTTGGCACAGGTCAACTCGGCACACTTTTCAATTTATTGATATATTGGTTTGGTTTATCATTCTTTATTGTTGGAACCACATACTTAATATATGGTCTGATTTACAAACGTGGAAAGATGTTTTCTTAAATTATTGTTACATTTTTGGTAATGAAATCATTTTCAATGATTTTGGAAATGAAAACTTATTACAACCAATTCATGTGAACACATGGTACTGTAGAGTAGACAATTTAGGTAATTTTGATACCCTCCTTCACAGGCCTCAGATATAAGTTTCTTGCATATCAGACAGAATTATCTCTCGTTAACTCCGGTGCTAGAAAACCCTGTCTTACACCCCCCAGGTAAGACAAGTCGCGTGCTTTAAATGACGTCATTGCTGTGTGCCTTCTACGGATGACGTCATTTTACCGTTATGAATGAAGTCTGTAAGTTCATATGCTACAGTACTGTAAGAAAAAAGTGCCTAATGAAAATGTCAGTTTTTTTGTAATTTCTTTTCTGAAAATAATTGACATGTAATATGCAAGAAAAATAATCAAACACTGGCTTTCGGTACAGAAGGGAATATCTAGCTCTCGGGGTAACTGCTGTTTAGCAGAAAGTCGGCAGAGCCTCACTCCCGCCATAAACAACTACCCTCGAGCTAGATATTCCGGTCTGTACCGGCAACCAGTGTAAGATTCTTATAATCAACATAATCAGCAATAAACAAACTATGGAAAAATGTTTAAAAAGTGTCCATTTGGTGGTCCCTGGCCAGTAGTGGCTTGAAAACTAGGGTGGGACATGTTCAATGCTACCTATGGCTGCTGTGGGGTAGGGAGTAGGGCAACTGTAGGAGGTAGGTTCCAATGGTATACAACCTTGGGACCCCTAGGAAAGAAGGAGAATTTATAATAGTCTGAAGTTCAACAGTTTCAATAAGTTAACATACTAAGGGGATGGGCATCATGACCATGGCTTGATGTTTAGGGGAGGGATGTCACATATTTTTCTATGGAGATAGCAGCCAGACCATGTTGAATCTTGTAGAAAAGGGATAACCTAGCATCTCAGATGATCTATATGTTAAGTTCAAAATTTCGAGGCATAAGGGAGTGTTGCTTGTTTGTGACGCTAGAGTAGAGGTCATTATTTGTAAAAAGTCAAATAAACGTCTTGCACACAGAGAGTGCACATGAGAGTGTCATAAAATAATAAAATATAATATAAAAAGGCAGTTTTTTGTTTCTTTTACAAAGGACCAAACTAACTTGACCAGTAATTGGGAATGCAGTGAGTTTCCCAAACATACTTTATGCATTGTCTTATTCAAATAAGACATATTCAGTTAAAATTTCCTAGATTTCAATAAGTTTCTGAAATAAAAGTATTTTACTCAAATATAAGCATAGTATATCTTGAAAGGTTAAACATTACATTAAAACATTTTGTGATATATAATTTTGTGTTTTTTTCTGCAGTATGATTTGTCCGCCTCACAATTTTCACCAGATGGCAGAGTATTCCAAGTTGAGTATGCTTTGAAAGCAGTAGAAAACAGTGGGTAGGTACTTTCAAATAGATTTCACTTTAATACTTGTTGATTTCAATTCTTATTTACTAGCAATTGAATACCTAATTGACATTACGCCGCCTGTCAATCAACCTGACAAACGTCTTACCGATAAGCCAATCAGCGATCATTATCAGTTTCATGCTAAGAATAGATGTCTGCAAAGTCTGCCATTTTCCTTAGACAAGTTATCTGTCTATGACAAAGGTGTAGAAGTAATTAAGATTGAAATAATTTTAATTTTCTGTCGATTTAAAGCTGTTTAATCGGTATATTACTTAAGTTACCAAATATACTGACGTATTGACAGACCAAGTTAGTTAGTTTATTATACAAAAAGACAGTAAATTTCTACATACATGTATGGAAATTTTAAATTTTATGGTGTCTGTAATATAATTTTACTGTTTTTGTTTTGTTACTTCAATTTCAAAATTAAATCCTAACATAATCATATACTTTTCTACACATAATATCTCTTTGAATTTGTAACATATATTGACATTCTGTCAGTTTAAGATTTTCATTGAAGTCAACAAGAAATAACACCATCTTTGTTAAATGTTTCATGCATCATTGATACATAAATGCAGATATTTTTTGCTATATCATAATACATTATACATTGAATAATACTATTCAATAAAATCAATAAAACCGTATTATGTCTAAGGTTCTTACTGACTGGATCACATGAATCAGTGGGCGTGTCACATGAATCAGTGGGGGGGAGCGATCCCTTCTCTGGCGGAATGTCAATTACACAAAAGTTTCAAAGTTTTATAAAGTTCATACCTACTTTCATCATTATAAGTACACCCTCTGACTACTGTATTAGGGAATTGATTCTTTGACTCGGTGATCTAGATCATTGTTACTTTTGCTTATAAATGGGTGGCCACAAATTTGAATCCCAGTCATGGCATGGTCTTTCCTGATGCATTTGCATCTTCCTGTTACAAGCTTAATCATTCGTAAACAAATTTACTGCAGTGAAAATTTTTATGTTTTTCAGAACTGCCATTGGAATAAGAGGAAAGGATGGGATTGTCTTTGGAGTTGAGAAGCTTGTTACTTCAAAACTTTATGAAACAGGGGCCAATAAAAGAATTTTTAATATTGATAGACATATAGGAATGGTAAGGATAACATAATTTACTCAATGTAAATCAAAATGCTTTTGAAATTGGATGGTTTTTATAGACAGAAAACAAAAATTTTATACTGGTTACCAGGTCTAACTTGAATGTATGTTCACGTATATTATGCATTGTCATCTATTTCATTTATTTATTTATTTTGTGGATAAAAGTTAAATAATTTTTAGGACATTCTGACATTCTGAAATGATTTTCATGATATCTGATTTCTTTTAATTTTAAAAAGTGTCTTTGTTGATATACAGGGATTTTTTTTGGCTTATTTTATAGCCGATATTCAGTCATATTCCCAATTGAAAATAGTATATTATTTCCACAATAAAAAAATCCAAATAGAAAGTTACAAAATAAAAATGTTGAATATCAAATTCTAAAATCTTTTGAAAATAAGGACTTCTTCAATGTTATCGTGCTTAAATGTTTGAAGATACTATCCTAGACAGTTATTCTTTGCATTCATATAATCACTGTTAAATTTAAGTCATGCATGGTTTCCCAATTTTTAACAAAACATCGCTGAAATTCCCAATTCCATGGGTATGGGTCATGTTCCCAAAATCCTGGAAAAAAAACCCTGGTATATTAAATTATGTGTTTTGATGCAGGCTGTTGCAGGGTTATTAGCTGATGCAAGGCAGATTGTAGAAACTGCTCGAGAAGAAGCTGCAAGTTACAGATCAAATTATGGCACCCCTATACCACTTAAAGTAAGTTTGCTTGTTTGATTCTTTCAACTACTTCAGTCATTTGTCAATGCCATCTGTATGGAACCATGCCAGTTAACATACCTTTTAAGACTTTGTTCTGTTTGTAATTAAGTTTTAAGCTCAATTATTCAAAGAATAGGGAAAGCTATTGCACTCTCTCAGGCGTTATAGTGTCACACTTTGGTTAAGTATGTTGGTATGTCGAAAATTACTGAAAGGAATAGGTTGAAACTTCACACACTTTTTTGAAAGCATAATGACAGAATTTTGGCCCCTTTTGAACTTAAAAAAATTTAATGTCTACATTATCCAGGCACTGAGAATAATCAGGCAAGCTGCCCTACTGACAACTCTTGTTTTATATTTAAACCCCTTTATAGTGACCAGTTCAAAATGCTGTTCGAATGCTGATACATAAAAAAATGTTTAGTTAAGAAATTCAGTAGTTTGTATTACTTATGTAAGAATTATGAATTTTGTATTACTTTTGTTAGAAATATCATATGAACTGTAATTCAAGAATTGTCTTGCATACTGCATAAGTAATGTATACAATAATACAAACATATGAAATTTAACCAAAACCTGATTATTTGGAACCCCAGAATAAAACATTTATCCATTATGTAATCAAATTTATTTAGAATTCAGATTTTTATTATTCATTAATGGTTATCATATGATATTTTCCAGCATCTAACAGACAGAGTATCAATGTTTGTACATGCCTACACATTATACAGTTCAGTAAGACCATTTGGTGTCAGTTGTTTAATGGGTTCATATGATCCCACTGATGGTCCAGAGATGTACGTTATAGATCCATCAGGTGTCTCATTTGTAAGTGATTTTATCTTTAAACATTCTGTTGCCTAGGTGACCATGTTGTTGAGTCTCAACAATTGTATATTTGCATTGAACAATTACTTGATAAAAGTGTCATTTAAAATTCTCTACTGTTGAAACCTTTACCATTAGTTTATGGAATTTTGTAAAAACTTTAAGGCATATGAGTGAGATTTAAACATAATTCTCATAATATTCAGGACTTAAACAAATGTTTCACTGGACATTATGTAAATTGTAATGCATCAGGCCTCGATGATTTTTTTTAGGGCCACTCGCCCTAAAGGGGGAGTGACCTTCCAAATTTACTTGCCCCTTATAAAATGCACTCGCCCTGCATTTTGACAGAAAAAGTTTGTAAAAATGAAAAACAAAACTCAAATTTACTGATTACTGTTCTATATCAGTATAACTGGCTTTATTCTATTACATATTTTATATTTTTATTATATAATCTTCAACATAGCCTGAATACTTATTCTATTCAAATTTTAACACACTCGGCTAAAATATTAGGCATCAAAATATCAACTTCATGGCTAAGTATAAAACATTACGGAACGCATAAGTTATAAAACATTGCCGAATGCTGCTGTTTTTACAGAATCAATTCATCATACACATTTGGTAAAGTTTTATACTAAGTCATAAGGTCAGTGTCCGGTTTTTAGCTCGACTTTTCTATGAAAAGGGGAGCTATCCTACTCGCCCCGGCGTCGGCGTCGGCGTCACACCTTGGTTAAGTTTTTCGTACCACCCCACTTTATTTCAGAAGTATTACAAGTATGGCTTTGAAACTTACCATACTTGTTCACCATCATAACCTCCATCTACAGACAAGAGTACATAACTCTGTCAAGGTTTTTGACAGAATTATGGCCCTTTTTTGACTTAGAAAGTGTATTGAGCTTGGTTAAGTTTTTTGTACCACCTCACTTTATTTCAAAACCATTGGAGGTATTGCTTTGAAACTGACCATACTTGTTTACCATCACGACCTTCATCAACAGACAAGAGGACATAACTCTGTCAAGGTTTTTGACAGAATTATGCCCCTTTTTGACTTAGAAAATACATTGAATATGGGTAAAATCCACTTATTGCCTTAACCCTTTGAGATATTGCTTTGAAACTTTTAATGCTATTTCACATCATTACCCCCATCTGTACGCAAGAGAAGGTAACTCTGTCAAGGATTTGTTTTAAAAATTAAGGCCTTTTATCGACTTAGAATCTTGGTTAAGTTTTTTAGTACCAGTCCACTTTTTTGACTGAACTGTTTGAGATATTAATTTGAAAGTTGGAATACTTGTTTACAATCATGATTCCCAAACATGTCCAGGAGAAGGTAATTCTGTCAAATCTATATATTATGCTGATTGTACAAAAAATATACTGCTTCCTTGGCATAGATTTCTTGAAAAATTATGTTATTATGTCATTTACCAAGGTGTTCTGAGTGACGTAAAAATACCTTATTCTCTCAAAGTGGGTTTAATACTATTAAATTTATTTAAGGCTCAACTCAGTTTTTTTTTCTTTCTTACCAGCCCTCTTTTGACTTAAACATTTCAAACTTTGCTGCAGTGTTCAAGGGTATCACACAATTCAGTAAAATAATTCTTCACTAAATATCTTAATGCTCATGGCCATTGTTCACTTTAAAAATACAGAGATTCTTGTATTGCCTTTTACTGCAAAAACTTTTTTTATTGGCAAGCAATAAAAAAGTCGAGCGCGCTGTCTTACGGACAGCTCTTGTTGGTTGATGGTATTAAGTTTGAAATAAATGGCGTCTGCTGTTTTTTACCGAATGACTTCATTTATATTAAATATTCAGAGAAACATCATTTGGATCTGGAGAATCTTACTTGCCCGACCTGAACTTTTACTTGCAAATGAGAGCGGGCGAGCAGATTTGTCATGGTCTGTACATGTATCCTTTCAGTCAGGCCATTGTATTATAAAGTCCATTGTCTGGGAAATTGTAACCTCTTTGACTTGTAAAATAAAGATGATGTTCTCATTTGTTAATATATGTGAGGCTTAAAGTTATTAAGTTTAAAAAATTGTGTTATTGAAAATACAGACTAATGTTTGATATAATTTTCCAATAAAGGGATATTATGGATGTGCAATAGGAAAAGCAAAACAAGCAGCAAAAACAGAAATAGAAAAAATAAAGGTTGGTGGTTCTGTTTTTTTTCTTTCGATAAACTTATTTAAACATAATTTGAAAACTCTAAAACATTTGAAAACTAAGCATGCTTAATAATCAAATATACATGTGTACATGTTGTTTACAATTGTTATAGATGTCTTATTACATCTGTTACTTTTATAGTAGGGTCTTTATAAAATTCTGTTTTCACAGACCAGTAAAAAAAACTGTTGAAATGTTGAGATAAACGAAAATTTATGTAAAATATTGATTTATGCTAAATAAATTTAAATTTAATTTTTAAGGTCTATGCATAGAAATTGAGAACTAGAACTCCGCCAGTCGGATGTGTCGCCTTGTCAACAATGTAGTTTAGGGGAAATGGCCAGGACAAAAATGAAATATGAAAAATAACAAAGGGCAATAACTAAAAAAATAATAAGTGCAGAGCAGCAGTTTCTGTATACACTGCACTTCTTATCAATAAGATCTATCATTCTATGATGTTTCAAGTCCATAGCTTTCATACTTGAGGAAAAATGACCAGGACAAAAATAAAGTAAGAAAAGCAACAAAGGGCAATAACTCAAAAATAAAAAATGCTGAGTATCAGTTCTTATGCACTGCACTTCTTTTTAATGAGATCTATCATCCTATGAAGTTTCAAGTCCATAATTTTTATACTTTCAGAGAAATGGCCTGGACAAAAATTAAGTATGAAAATAAACAAAGGGCAATAACTCAAAAAATAAGAAATGCAGAGTACCAGTTCTTGTGCACTGCACTTCTTCTTAATGAGACCTATCATCCTATGAAGTTTCAAGTCCATGGCTTTTATACATTAGGAGAAATGGCCCGGACAAAAATAAAGTATGAAAATTAACAAAGGGCAATAACTCAAAAATTAGGAAGTGCAGAGTACTGGTTCTTGTGCACTGCATTTCTTCTTAATGAGATCTATCATCCTATGAAGTTTCAAGTCCATAGCTTTTTTAGTTGAAGAGAAATGGCCCGGACAAAATTAAAGTATGAAAATTAACAAAGGGCAATAACTCAAAAAATAAGAACTGCAGAGTACCGGTCCTTGTGCACTGCACTTCGGGTTCTTGAAAGAAGTATGCATACCAAGTTTGAAGTCAATCAGACTTATAGTGACTGAGTTATGCTCCGGACAAGCTTTAGCGGACGCCGACAACGACGCCGACACAGACGCCGCCGCCGCCGACACCGCCGACAAAAGTAACCCCTATATGTCACCTTTTCAAGGCGACACAAAAATTAAGTGAAACATGTTGCATAAAAAATACAAAACCAGTAATGATATGGTAAAAATCTACTCCAATCAAAAATGTAATGCATTGCACCTTAATCTGAAAAAAGTTGTTGACATTTCACTAATGATATCTCTTATTATTCCAGATGAAAGACATGTTGTGTGTTGATCTTGTAAAAGAAGTAGCAAAAATGTATGTAAAAGTTTATTGAATATTTCAAAAACTTATTCATATGAAAGACTAATATTTTATTTTAATTTTAATGTTATGTTTGGAGTATGAAAAAAGCACAAATTTTATTTATAATTCTAATGCCATTTCGTTTAGATTGATCAGTGGAAAGGCTTTTGCATTTACTTTCCCAGTAAAGAAATTTATATTTTGTACAAAGTCTATAAAAAAAACTTATATAAGAAATGAATATAATCAATCTGTTATTTTTAACTAAAGATGCACTTTACACTAATAGCACAGTATAGAACTATGATTCCTCTTTAATTCAGTTATGCTATATAGTCATTTTACTTTTTCAGAATTTACATAGTTCATGATGAAGTGAAGGACAAAAATTTTGAACTTGAATTAAGTTGGGTTGGAGATAGTAAGTTAATACAATTTTATCAAATTGTTGGCAGAAAGATTTATAGCATATTGCTTATTCTTGATATTTTGTTAGTTGACAAAAGGAAACAGTGCTACATATTCAGATAGATGTTAAGAAATTACTTGTACAAAGTGATCAAAGTTCATTCAACAGGATGTCAAAGGTCAATGATTGATTATTCAGGCTATCTCTTTAAAGGTGCATTAAGCTTCAGAATTGTTTTCCCTTCTGTCAATAGGACAAAACCAAGTGTTTTATAATGTTGTAATAAATAGAACAAGTAATCTGCTCATCACCATAAGAAAAAAGCGCTGAGTGTGTAATAAGTTCTGATATAGGTAGCAAAATGTAAACAAACTTAGTATTGTGACTTCCATACAACATACTAAATCACTGTAAATGTGCTTACTGCCAAAGTAGCAATTCAGCTTCATGGCCAATGAGTAACTGTTTTAGAAACTGTAACAGGATAAGAAAATTAAAAAAGCTTTTGAAAAATGAAATCATTGGCATTTTTTAGGCTTAATTGGCCTTTAAAGATAAACATGTATTGTAAACTCCACTTATAACGATATTCAGGGGACCTCTGAATTTATATTGTTATTTCCGGATATCTCAGGGGCAAGGAGTAGGAAACAGGGTAACAGCATCATTAAAAGAGGTATATCGTTATAAGAGGAGTTTGCTGTATATTGGTTAAAAAATAGAAATTTCTTACTATTGCTTAGCAACCATCTTTAAAAGCATAGTCTTTATGGCTTTCCAAAATTAAAGTATTTCAGTAACAAATTGATAAGGAGTCAGATACTAAATACACAAAAATAGATGTGAAAAGTCATATTTTCATGTCTTACGTTAAGAAACTTTACCATTAAAATATGTTGGCAAACGTGGGAAAAACCAAAAATTTACGTCAGCAGAGCGTATAGTACAGCAGTAAAAGGATGAAAAGAATAGATCTGAGATAAAATTTAATGAAAAATGGAAGCAGGGCCGTGAATCATTGGTGTATTGAAAATGAGCTGTACGGACTGTGCCGATTTTTACCGCGAAAAAATTAAAAGCTAAAAGTGTCTTAAAAATACAAACACAAGTTTACCTTTGATTTTGATTAATTTTATTCGGTCTGACAGATTTCGTTTCGGTCCGACAGATTTTCATGGTTTGTCAGACCAAATGTATGACACTTTTTTTTTAACTTTCGGGAAGTCTGTGTTGCATTGTTTGATTTTAAATTTCTATTTCAAAGATGAGGTTTTCAAGCCCTGACAAAATTAATCAGTTGAGAATATAATTATGTGTGATTTTGATAAAAAGTCCAGTCTGATTATGGTTGTTATTTTTTAATTTTTCACATTGTTACGTTTTTATCATTTCAGTGACTGGCGGTAAACATGAGCTTGTTCCTAAGAATGTTTTTACAGATGCAGAAAAATATGCCAAGGTATATATCAACATTTGTGTTTTTATTGCTCAAATGAAAAAAAAAGAATCTTTAAAACATAAAAAATTGTTTCATAACTTGTGAAAAAGGCTACACAGGATATTTTGTCCAGAGCATAACTCTCAAAGTATGTAAAATATCAACTTGTTAGTTAGTAGGTCCTATTGAGAGGGCACAAGAAAGATGACTAGCCAATATATTTTTTGCTCTTTGTTAAACTGCATGTGGAGAATAACTTAAAAAGTGTTTAAGATATCAACTTCAAACTTCATGGGTGGATAGGTTCCATTAAGGAAGAGTGCAGTGCTCAAGAGTGATAAGTCTGACCTTCATCATATTTTTTTAGTTATTGCCCTTTGTTGTTTTGTTTTACTAAATTGTTGGTCAGGACAACAGCTCAAAAAAAAATGTTTGGGAAATCAGCTTCAAATTTCATAGATAAATTGAGTGCATTAAAGAGGAGTGCAGTTCTCAAAAGTGACAACTCTACACTTAACAATTTTAGAACAATTGTTCTTTGTTTTTTTTTTCTTGCCCAATTTTTCCACTTTTCAATTTCACTCGTAGCTATGTTACTGATGAAAATATATAATCTTTAGTTCACTCTATGAATGGTATTTTGATCTTTCATTAAAACAAACAACATGTTGTTATTATTACTGTGGGCGTTTTTATGAATTTAATGACCAATTTGTTTTTAGTGGGAAAAGAGTTTTAGGCTATCTTCCTTCTGTTACTTCATAGAATCCCCAGCAATTATTAAGCTGCTCTTTATAAAAAATGTCTTCTATTTGAATTGAATTTGCATTGCAATGCTAACTATTTGGTCACTGCATATAAAGATGTCTGATGAAATAAGTATGTTTATCACACACCGTGCCGATTTTGCGACTCCGTAAATATGGTATTGCACGGCTGTGCATATATTTTTGACGTGACGTCTATTAGCGTTATACAAACATAGTGTAAAGACGCGCGAAATGTTAGCGTTATACTATAGGCGCGTCAATTAAAAATGACTCTTTTTTCACTTTAAATGGTCTTTATTTTTTGGGTATGTGATAAATAGAATATTAAATTCGTGTAAGTTCATTACTGAATTTATTGCACTCGTTGAATAAAATAATATTATGCTCGCCAGAGGCTCGCATAATATAATTTTATTCAACTCGTGCAATAAATTCAGTATTGAACTTACACTCATTCAATATCCTCTATTAGTCAGTCTGATTTGATAACATATTAAACATATAAATATATTTATTATTTCAGGAATCTCTGGAGGAATCAGATGACAGTGATGATGAGGACTTGTAGAAAATACTTTGTGATACATTTAATATCATTCTACATACAATATCATCACTACTGGACTTTGGTGCATAACAGTGCTATTGCTGAACGTTAAAATATTTGTGTACTGAATTATATTTTTGAGAACTGGCTGCAGGAAAAAGATTTTTGAAGATGACTTTTGAAAATTTCCTATTTATCCACTGCATAACCTACTTCTGAAAACTTTTTCTATACATCCACTGCATTACCAGGGAATTTTTCTAATTTAAGTTTTGCAGGATGTCTACAATATATGAGATATAAATAAAATGAATGTCATCAGCCTTGTGTAAAGCCTGTATAATTTGTTGTATAATGACACATAGTACACATAGACCAAATAAACATATTCAAGTATTTTGAGGTTAATTAACAAGCATATGTTAATATCATTTGATATTTTGTTTACCAAGTTATTTTTCATGGTATAAATCATTATTGATGAATAAAAGTGCTTATTAATGTCACTTTAGTGTTGGTGTTGTTGATATTAAGTTGATGGTCTTTTGAATTGGTTACAGGAGAAGAAAGAATTTTTTTTTTCATTATAAGCATGAATTGTAAACAAGTGTGTATATTAGACAATTTTGAATTTATTCCATAACCTAGGTATAGTCCTCGGACACAACATGTTTCTGTTTCTTTTTTCGGATGAATAATCCAACTTTCCTAACATCTTTTCAAAAATCTTATGTAAATAATGATAATGAATAATAATTGTTTTGTCCAAACAAAAATGTTTGCACATAAAAGGTCATATGACTACTCCAGCTTTACTAGTGGAGGAAAACTTTTTTCATGCACCTGAGTAAAACCACTATAATCTGTAAACTAGCTGGATAGCTTGCTCACATGAAAGAATCCAAAGCCCAAGTGGGATTCAAACCCTTGGCAGGGATAAGTGATGTGAATTCTTCGGCCTTAACCACTTAGCAATGGACAGCCCACCTGAAGAGGCAATAAAATGCATAGTCCTGCTTTTCTTAGGTGTATTTGTACTATAGGAGCATCACAGATGTAAAAGTATAACCAAGGTATCAACCTTTATGTGAAAGGTATGTATTTTCAGTTATTTTACATGTTTTTTTAAAAACAACAAATGAAAGTGCAGTGCCTTATTGAAGAGACATATGCATTGTTGATTTAGTTACTTCACCTCATGAAAAACAAACTATAAGTCATAGTTATTAGAAGAGCAGACAGAAGCAATGTTAAATGAACAGCATATGTATTTTGGTCTGGTGGTAATTCTGCTGGACTAGTAATCTAAGGATTGCTGTCCATGTTGGTTCAAACCCTCTTAACCAAGCCTTCGTTTCATTGAGCAAGAAACAACGCTTGTAGCTTAGTACTGGTTGTATCCAAGGAAAATGATTTCAGAGTGTCTGTGAGCTCTAAGCCTTGTACACGATCTAACTTTAATGCCATATTGTCTCTATTTAATCCCCCTGGGGCTTGCATTTTTTCAAAAGGGGGTGCTAATAAGAAGTATTAATGTGCTTTCAAATATGTTTATCAAAGATATAATTCAATTATAAAAATCATTATTCATTATAATCATCTAATAAAAAAACAAGATTATATTATTTTAATAAT